TTCATATTTTGAGATTTTCAAATCTATTATCAAATATAGCAGCTCTTAAACTCAAAATATAACAAGTTGATGGAAATAGGCACTCCAATGAGCTCTCTTAAAAGACTTCTTATATTTTGAGATTGTCAAAAGTTGTTAAAATGAAAATAAGGCACACCAATGGGTTATCAAAATATGGAAGGACTGTTGTGTCAAAAAATAAAATTTTGGATGAAATGTACTTAAAACAGAATTGCAGAAATATAATATTTTGACACTGTAACTCCTTTCAAAATATAAATTTAACATGAAAATATAACATTTTGTATTAGAGATACTCTTATCAAACAAACAATCTCCTGAATTATCAAAAATTATTATGTTGTCTCATTTCCATGACGGAACAATTAAGTTATTGCGAAATGACTATAATACTTTTGATAATTTATTAATATTTTATTAAACTGATATTATAGTGTGAGAAGAATAATTTTATCATTACAAATTATAATATTATTTTGATAAAAAAAAAAAAAAAACAATAAAGCCACTGTTGCAAGACAAAGTACAAAGTTTATTGCAATTTGTAGGGTAATTAATGCTAGGGAAATGCAGAGCAATAACGCATGGCAGTTGTGTCGGAAACCACTAATTAATTTGCCAAACAAATTGAAGGTGTTGTCACATTGGTAAAAGTCATCCGAAACATCTGAAAAAAATTACAGTATTATTTTTATGGTCCGGAATCATTAGTTGTGGGATAATTACCGTTAGACACATAAGTTATTGTATCAATTTATTATTTTTATTTTTTTAACAAAATACTTCCTCCGTTTAATTGTCTTATTTCTATATGGATGTGATCTGTCACATAAATTCACCATTTTGCATTTTTATTAGGTTAAAATCATAAAATTTAAATTTGTTTTCAAAAACGTCATATAGCCCCTCCCTCAATTATCAAACAACCTCCTAAATTAACAAAAATTATTACGTTGCCTCAATTTCGTAACAGAATCATTAAATTGTTGCGAAATGACTATAATGCCCTTGATAGTATATTAATATTTTATTAAACTAAAATTATAGTGTGAGAAAAAGGTAATTTTGTCATTATGAATTACAAGATTATTTTAGTTAGAAAAATGATGCAATTGTTATACGTGATTGTCAATTGATATGATCCCGTTAGTTTTAGATGGAAAACTAATGAGGTGATGGTGATATGATAGATTTTTTAAAATAACTGATAGTTTCTGAAAACAAGAGGGGGATTTTATGATGTTAGGCCTTTTTTATTTTATTACCAACCATATCGCCCACTATGTAACTTTTTTTATGTCATTTTTAATAATTTCATCTCATGTTAGTTTTGATTATTCTTTCTGTCCCTTAATTTCTATAAAAATTAAACTTTCTCTTCTCACTAGTGTATCTAGGTTTCCGATATATGTGCCTAAACTATCAAAGCCTACTCTTCATATTTTTTTTTAGTTGGTACTCACATACACATGTCTTCACTGAGGTTCGAATCCATGACCTTTCTTTGAGAAGTAAGGATTTGGTACCGCTAGGCCATATGCATGTTGGTTACTCTCTTATTTTCTCGTTGATGAGTGCTACACTTAATATTTCTCTTAATTACATTTTCATTTTTGACTTCGTCTCTTCTAATAACTCCGATCCAATCATCTATCTTAACATTCTAATTTTTCTCCTATACTTACAAAATTGGGAAATATGATTGAAGTAGAATTGAGAAAATGTACAATATTGGTAATACAATAATCATATGAAATTTAGTTAGAACAGGTAATAAAACATAAACTGGGAGATAATTGTAAGTGAAGTTTTTCGGTTGCTTTTACAACAACATAAATAACTTGAAACTATTGTTCTTGAATGAAAATTTTGCAAGAATCTAAAATTTCACTAATAATCTTTACACATGGAAAATCTGAAAAAATTTCAAATTTTATTAGAGTATTCTTTTTCAAAAAAAAAAAGCATATAATTCGACAATGGCATTTGATAAATTGTCTTCAAAGCAATGCAATAGCTGCACTCCATAAATTTGATGATTATTCTTTAACTTTTAATTTTTTTTTTAAAGATGACACTGTCCATTCCTCTTCACAAACCTTTATTTTTCTTAATTGAAAATATATATTAATGAATTAATTGTTTCACTGTTTATAAAAATGTCTAGATTAAATGTTCTATTATGTATTAATGCCAAAGCTTGTTTATCATTCATCACAATATTACAAATCTGTGATTGTGTGCTGACATTATTTAAACAGTATTTTGGTGCCTTTATTTTGATTCTAAAAGCTCTTTCTTCATTCCGAAATTGATATTTTAAAACAAAATTAACCCTAAAAGCTTTAGGCTTTGAAATTCCAGACTTTGTTCTGTGGTGGAGTGGTTTTCCAACAAATAAGCATCTTTGGTTTAGAAGATTCATGAACATGTTCCACTAAAAAAAGGACACAACTCTCTATATGTTTGAAATTTAAAAATGAGTCTAGTACAATTTGAAAAGCTACTTCAAGCCGGTCAATTTGAGCACAAAAATGACCTAATTCGAATTTAAGACGAGAGACTTAGGAACATTTGAATTTAGCATTCAAAACCTGAAAAGCTCAGCAAAGTACGCTCAAGCCCTTTTAAAGTTGACAGATTAATATATAATGTTTGTTTTTATAAATAATTTAATAAACAACATTCTAAGGGTGCATACCAACGGTCTAACCAATCGAAACCAATTTGAAGCATCCAATTTGGTTTGGTTGTACGATCAATGTTTTGATTTTTTTTTTTTAAAAATAAAAGAGATGAAACCATTGGATAAACTTTTATTTTCATGATTTAGAGGTCAAAAAACCGAACTAATCTGAACTATGATTTTCTATGTACATATGTTTACTTATATTTATTATTTTATTGGTTACTTAATTTTATTGTCACAAACTTGTCTCGCATTAATCAAGATTATATGTATCATTTTAAATTGTTCTCTTATCCCATTATTAGTATGTTACTAGTGGATTTTAGAATAAGAGTTATCATATCAAATTATTATCATGCTACTTGTAGGTTTTCGAATTAGAAATGCAATATCAACTAGGTAGTAGAGGAAATTTTGACCTGTGACAAATGTTGAGTAAGACTTGATTTAGATTAAACCTAAAAATTGCACTACCATCATTTCAAATTATCTCAATCCGTAAATACGATCTGATTCAAACAATATGCTGGATCCAAATTCAATATTCTAATAGGGTCAAGTGCAGAAATACCCCCTAATATATATTATGCATGGCACTCACTTTAATATTGAACGAAAATACACTTCAAATAGAAATCCGATATAAAGTAATTCTTTAATGTCTTTTTTGCCTTTTTATTCTTTCGAAAATACCCAAAGGAGTGTATATGCTTATTATGTGTAAATTTAATACTTTTTAAAGGATTTAATTTCTCTCACCTTTACAAAAAGAATAATAATAAATTTCCCCTAATGTTGTATTATCTCTCTTTGAGTTGAGAATTATACATTTCCTAAGACTTAATGCCACTCATAAGTTAAAAAGTTCTAATCTATGTATTTCTTTTATTGGTTAAATAGAGATAATATATATATATATATATATATATATAAATTTTTTTTTTCACAGTTGTCAAATTAATGGGGAATATATCATATGGAATGAAAACCTTAGTTTTTTTTATAATTATATATAAGAAAAAACAAATTATTCTCAATTAAAATTTAATATAGTTTTCATTTTTATTAAATATATAATTAAAAAATTCAATTAAAGATAGTTATTCATTATATCTATAATATAAATTTATTTTTTAAAATATTACAATTTGCAATAAATTTTCAAATATATATATATATATATATATATAATTCTTTACATAGCAAAAATTACGTGTTCGAATTCAAAACAATAATAGTTTTTAAGATAAAGTGCAAAAAACACTATGTTTAGGGTGCGTATTACATCCCTAATGTGCTAAACCACGTCATTTCTCTTTGTATTTATTTTCGTCATTTTAAAATATATATATAAGGATAATTTAGACAAATTCTACTTTGAATGTGTCAGAAATAATTTATTTATAATTTTGCATAAATTAAAATTGTAGCGGTGTTGAAAGAAATAGGCACGCTAAACATGCTTATACCATAGGAATGTACCATATTCTAATGACTATTCAAATTGGTTTGGTTTTTCATTCCGGTTTAGCCACGAAATCAATTCACTTGTCAGGCTACAAAACCAAGTAGAGAGAAATGAGCATGGAACTGAAATCCATTTCCTTGTAACCAAACAGTAGTAAAACTGTCGGGCAAAAGAACAAAAAAAAAATAAAAAATAGAAAGGAGAGAGAGAGAGAGAGAGGAAAGGACAAAGTTCCTCAATGAAAGACTGCCTTTTTCAGTTTTCTCGGACGTCATTATATTTTGACCGGACACAACCACGCTACTAAATTTTCCCTTCTCATGCTTACTGTAAAGTAATTTCAGACTCCCTCTACTTTTACCTCTTCGCACCTAAATTCCATGCACCGAATTAAATATTACTACATAAATCCGTGCAAGCACGAGCTTTCCGTCATTTATGTACAGTAATCCTAGTTGTTAAAACGTTCAACCCCGAGCTAATATATCTGTGTTCGACTCTTCCTCTTTTTTATTTCTTAAAAAAGTAAATATTGAAATTGTACAAAAATAACTTGTGAAAATAGAAATTTTTTACAAAAACTTTATTTAGTTTAATTTTTTTAATATAACTATCTTTTATTATTTTCTAAAAATTATTCTATATTTTTTTTAATTTTTAATAACTGTTTTCATTACTACAAACAAAACATTTCTTCCACATTATAGTAGTACTAAAAGGAAACAAAAAGCTTATATATATCTATATATATATATATATATATATATATGCTGTTAGCTGAGGGAGCAAACATTACCGACAGTAGCAGGTAAAACCATCCCTTAATCAACCGGGAAAAAAAGAGTTAGAGAGAGAGAGAGAATTTAGGGCAAGAGAGAGAGAAAACAAAATTTTCAGAAAAAAAGTGGAATATCAAAGCCTAGAAGACCCCTCTTTTTGTGCAGACGGGTTAATTCATGTCCACACCCTCCTCCTCCTCTTATCTGCTCATTTTCTGATCAAACTCTTTACATATTATATTTATATATATATATATATATATATATATATATATATATATATACTTCATATTTATCTCAGTACTTACTTATATATTTATATAGATATATATAGAGAGAGAGAGAGAGATAGATAGATAGATAGATATATGGAAGCTGCTTATATTGGCGGTGGTGACGGTGGTGTGTTCGATCTGCTGAGTTGGTCGGGGATGTAGATAATCAGTTGGAGAGAGGGAGTGTAGAGAGAGAAAGTAGAGTGAGAAAATGGAGTATGACGAGCACGATGAAGATCAAGAGGAGCAAATTGGGGTTCAGGTGCCGCCGACGCAAAATTACGAGTCTGTGGGGAGGCCCAGAAATTCGAACTCCGGTGGCGGAGCTGAGGGAGCCTCCGCAGTCAGAAAAGGAGGAGGCGGAGGCGGGACCTACAGGTATAGGGAGTGCCTGAAGAACCACGCCGTCGGCATCGGCGGCCACGCCGTGGACGGCTGCGGGGAGTTCATGGCCGCTGGAGAAGAAGGAACCCTAGATGCCCTCCGATGCGCCGCGTGCAATTGCCACCGCAACTTCCACCGGAAGGAAACAGAAGGCGAGTCCCCCCACCCCCACCAGCCACACCACCAGTTCTCGCCCTACTACCACCGAACAGCACAGCACGCGGCGGGGTACCTCCACGTGACCCCTCCGCCGCCGCCGTTGGCCCTCCCCTCCGCCTCCCGAGAGGATCAGGAGGACGTGTCCAATCCGAGCAGCAGCGGTGGCGGCGGTGGTGGTTCCGGTGGCTCCAGAAAGCGGTTTCGGACGAAATTCACTCAGGAACAGAAGGACAAGATGCTGGGGTTCGCGGAGAGGTTGGGGTGGCGCATCCAGAAGCACGACGAGGCCTCGGTGGAGCAATTCTGTGCAGAAACCGGTGTGAAGAGGCAAGTACTCAAAGTATGGATGCACAATAACAAGCACACTCTTGGTAAAAAACCCTAATTATTCCATATCTCTCCATTGCGGCTTTTCTGTGATCATCTATATCTATCTTCCTAAGTATAATGACAATGACAACGACCACAATGGCTATCAATTAAATTGAGGTTTAGATTTAGTTTTAGTCTTCTTTTTTTTCTTTTGTGTTGTATTTGTTGAGTTTGTGTTGTTTTTAGGTGTTTTAGTTTGTTTCTGTACTTTGTCTTTGTAACTTTTGAGTGTAGGATGGCATGGACAACATTAATCAATCAAAATCTTTGTTTCTTAAATGTTACCATGATGGTTTTTTTTTTTTTTTTTTTTTTTTTTTTTAGTATGGATTAAAAATTACATATACCCATTTGACCATTTCATTGATCAGTTCATCTTACATTGTCATTTCTTGACTTTCTCTCTCTATATATACATATATTATATTAGCTTTGTTTGTGAAGTTTCTTTTTTGTGTAGTTTAAGCAAAGTTATAGGTTGATTAAAATGTGTTTGACATGCAAAGGCTGCATTTTTGGTCCCTTCACATCTGTCATGTTCTCCTTTTTTTTCGCTAGCTCCATCACTATTAACTTAAGCTTTGTTTACCTCTATGTATTTTCTCTGCCTATTGGACACACACTCTCTCTCTCTCTCTCTCTCTCTCTCACACACACACACACTCTCCCTCTCTCCTATTTATTTTTCTCAAATCTTTATTTGCATTTACATTTGAGACATTTTGAGCTAAAGAGATCCCAGAATTGTCAAAGTTAATTGCCAGATGTGCTTAATTACAAGAAAAATGGATCACAAATGAGTGTACAGTATTAATTTGCCATCACTACACTAGTCCACTCTGACACCACTCTCTCTCTGTCTCTCTCTCTGTCCTACTGATACATTACAGCCTTTGATCTTTATTTCTATGTCTCAAGACTTCGTTGCCTTTCTCTTTTATTAATGGCACTATCAGACTTGGATTTTGGACAACCAAACAAGGCCTTGAACAATTTTTATTGTTGCATGGGCCACTTCAGTTCCTAGACTACTTGTTATTGTAACATATATACACATATTTATATATATATAGATCAATGGTGTTTACATATATACAGAGAAGTACAAGCCTTTCTTTAAAAACCTTTACTCATTCACAATAAAAGATTCGGTTGAATCTATTTTATTATTAATTGTAAATATTATATTCTCGAAGTTAAGATGCATGAATGAATCACTAAATGAGCCTACAGCTTCTATCAAACATGTCGAGTAATTAAGAGAACAAATTCGGACATTGATATTAAAAAAAAAAATTCAGTACCAATGAATCTGAGAAAGAACATCTCTCAGTTTAATTAGGGGTGCCCTTTATTAAATCACAACTATCAATGCATGATCCATTTTTAATTGAAAATTTGATAATTATGTCGATTTTCTACATCGGTATGCAACTTAATTTCTTTTTAGTTTATTTAGTAGAAGAAATTAATTGACTATGCATTAATCTTTATAATATATAGTTTCAACTTGTTTAATTTATTAAGACATGCGGTTCATTGAACCTATCTAATTTAATTAATTTTTACATAAATGGAATTATTGATGGTACGTAGAAGCTAGATTAAGGATGTTTCATGAGTAGGATATATGTGTGTGAAGAAACTCAAACTCTAGCTACTATATAAGACATTGGACATGCATGAATGTACATATATGTGTGTGTATATATATGTGTGTATATGTTGGAGAAAGATGAGTCGAGTCACAAACCTGTCGGAAAAATGATCACAGGCTCCGTCTTATGTTGCTTTATTCTGTTCCGGTGGGGACATAGATGTGGGCTCTCCAATTATGGCAACACATTTAATTTCACACAACAATACACATCACAGCTCATCTATATATCTGTGTGGTCGTCCACACAGATAGCTCTGGTCCTTCCACTCCATTAACATCTCTCACCCCTTCTCTGCCAATACTCTCTCTCTCCTTGATATAAATTATATATGTACGTATGTGTCTGTGACACTGTGTTTTGTATATATACACATTTTCAGATTCTAACTAGCTAAACATATGTAACTGCAGTTTCTAAGGTTGTGTGTGTGTGTGTGTGTGAGAGAGAGAGAGAGAGAGAGTGGGTGTTTTTGTGTGATATCTTGGATCTCTTCATAAATGTAGATGAATTTACTGAGAATTAAAACAGGGTGTAAAGGGTAGGCATTTTAAGGCTCTTCCAGGCATTCATATGCAAAAGCATGTTCTTTCTCGTGGTTTTGGTCCCAATGGTACAATGGATGTCTCTTTTTCGCAAATACAAGGTTGAGGTCTCGTGTCCCCCAATGGAACAACATCAATGTGTGTCCATGACATACCTTTAAAATATCTCCATTAAATTTTTTTAAGGATTTGGAGTTTGAAATTCGACAACTTTCTAGTGATTTATGGGTTAAGGTTGGTGTCATTATGATGTTATTAATATCTTTGATAATATCAGTTCATATAAAATTATTCGAATGTGTTTAAGTCTTAGACTCTCTATCATTACTATTAAAATAATAATAATAATTTCATAGCTAATGTAGCACAACCATGACGCATGATGAGTCCACGCACCCAATGTCTAAGAGTCGGTTTGGCCGACTCACTCCCATTTTTTTTTTTCCCTTTTTTTTATGTCATTCAATTATATTATGACATCGCACAGTGATTTCTTTTTAACTTCTCAAAGTGGAAGTTTGATGATTTAAGTCCAGAATATTCAAATGAACGTGTCTTTTATATTTTTGTCAAACCAAACAAAAAATAAGTAAATTATGACAGCGTAATTTAAAAAAAGTGTATTTCGCAACATAATTGAATGAAACATTACTATAAACATGTTACTTGAATTGAGTACACCAAATAGCTTGTGGGTAGCATCAAATTGGTACCTTGGGTTTGAGATTGAAAGAAATTTCGTTCAAATTTTGTACTAAAATTTCTTCTCGCTCAACACCAAAACATTGATTCACTACTACCAAATATAACACTATAGTATTAGGAACAAATATATATTTTTTCTATTCTAATTATTTTATATTGTGTATCTTGTTAGAATATTTTATCACTTTTTAAGAGATTTACATCTTTATGGAATATTCTAGCAAGTTTAAAGAGATTTGTATCTTTAAAGTACTCAAAAATATATAGGAGATATAATTTCATTTTTCAGAGTGGTCTTCTTTATATTCTATATGGAGAGATCTTATATATATATATATAGGAGAGTTATCAATGAGGATTTAACGACTAGTGACTTAGCAGTATCATGTTCTTGTTTTTAAAGGAAGGTCAGGTGTTCAAGCTACGGAGGCATGTGTGTGTGAGTACCAACTGAGAGGGGAAAAAAAATGTCTCCTCTATTTATTTCATAAACACCTCTAAACTCGAGTTCAAATTTGTGAGCGGTCTCATGTGTGTGTCATGTTTGGAAATTTCTTTTAAATTTTAGTTTTAAAAAATGACTAAAATTTCTCCACTCTCCATCATCATAAATACGAGTGAACTTCCGTTCAAATTGTTATCATGAGAGGACATGTCTTCAAATTTGTTTCACCATAAGTTTTGTCACTTATGTGTGCCAATGCATGTCCTTTAGATGTGTAATCTTGAAATTTCTCCACTCTGTCCATATAATGGTCATGTTCATGATAAATACGTGTGAACTTCCGTTCAAATTGTTAGCACAAGGGTACATGTCTTGAAATTTCTTTCAAGTACGCCGTAAGTTTTGTCACTTATGTGTGACAGCTCATGTCATTTCTGTTTCTTAAAATTTCTTCACACTCCATATAATGGTCATGGCCATGCCTTCAAATTTTTGTAAACGGTTCAAATTTTGTCAGCATAATGGTTGTGTGCCAATGCATGTCGTGAAATTTCTGTCAAGTACACCACAAGTTCACAGAATGAGAGACTCTTTATGCCTGCCAATGCATGTCTTGAAATTTCTCCACTCTTCATTCTCATAAACACCTGCAAAGTTGCCACTACCAATGCCTCCCTTAATTCTGTAACCTAAATGCATGTCTTGAAATAGATGAACACTTGTAAATTTCAGTTCAAATTTTGTCACCATAATGGGCGTGAAAGTCTCATATTTTCTTTCAACTTTTTGTATATAGGACACTTTACAAAATGACAGACTCATGTATGATAATTTATGTCTTGAAATTTCTGTCTAAGTTTATACCAATTCGTGTTCTAAATTTCGGTCACAAGTTTACATAATGACAGATTATATGTGTCAATACATGTCTTGAAATTTCTGTTGTAGGGTTTTAGAATTTATTCTATTTCATGTTCTTGAAATTGCGCCAAGTTTACCCAATTCGATGATAATTGTGAAATAAATGTTTTACAAATTGGAGTTCCACGTCATTCTCTTACCCACAAAAGCCTCCAAGCAAATGCAATTTAGGCTCGGTTTGTTTTGACGTAAAATTTTATTTTTAAAAAATATTTTTTGTTTTTAGGTAAAATATTCTTTTATTTATTTTTTGTCGGTGTTTGACAAAAGTTTACGTCGAGATTAGGCCGAGTCCATCAGGTGGGGCATGTAAAATAACTTGTCGAAAATTTATGATTAAATTATTTTTGTTAAATTTTAATATATTTTTTCTTCGTAAATATTTTATGACAACCAAACACCAGAAAATAAATATATATTTTCTGAAAAATATTTTACGTTCAAACAAACGGAGCCTTAGTTTCAATCTTGGTTCTTTGTAGATCCGTATAAATCTTTTTTTTTTCTTTTTCTTTTTTTTGTATATAAAATTGAAAAGAGGGAATTTGTACATTGTGCTAGTTATTAGGAGAAGTCTTTGCTCTTATAAAATTTTCATTCTTAAAAAGAAAAAAAGAAAAGAAAAGAAAGATTGTTGTTAAAACTGACTAAATTTTTTTTTTTTTTTTTTCCACCTCTTTTTAATCATGACTAGCACAATTCATTAGTAATGTTGAGAGTGACCATATATATATATATATATATATATATATATATTATATTGATCAAATTAAGCAAAGTATATTGATTATATGTAGTTATACACTAATCCATGGTCCGAGATTGACATGGGGCCATTGGCTCAATATTAACAAAACATGGAGAAAAATCAATAATTCCTCCCGAACATAAAAGCCCAATCATTTTAATCAGTGGTAAGGCCCAATCAGCCCACTAAGAGCAAACAAATAATCCTTTCTTCTGGTTGAGCTGTTTCATAATCCTTAAATTTTTAGATCGTGACACATAAG